GAATAGGTCTATTCCAATGAATGTCATTCCATTACTGACCTATTCCATAAACCAAACATGCCATGAATGCGATAAGATTCCTACCCAATCGCGAATCATCAACAGGAAATAACGCAGGCAAGGCGCGACACCAGGTTGGTCAAGGTCGAAGCAGGGATACTCTCTTTCACTGACGACTTCTCGCAACTCAGAATGGGGGACTGATGATTGTTATATTATAAATGGACCCCGTGTGGATCAACTCGAAAGAAATCGGACACAACCAGTTGTGGGGCCCTAGAATCGAGACCGATCGACGCAGGTGCGGCCGAGCCTAGTCGTTGCCGAGCTCAGTCTCGCCCGAGACCAACGCTCGCTGCCTAGGCCAAGCCCCCGTGCTCGGCTGCTCGGGTTGAGCTCAACACTCGGCGGGGTGTTATGTTCTTCGGCTGGTGCGGTGCGTACGGTGCGGGGTGCAGTCTTTGGTGGTTACAACCTCCCGCCCTTTTCTCGCAGGTAGGGATGACAATTGAACCCGCCCCCGATGGGGAAAACCGACCCTCGCCCCGACGGGGACGGGTTCGGGGATTTATTTCGGGGAACGGGGGCGGGGATGGAGAGAATTCCCCAATCCCCGCTGGGGACGGGGAGGGCATTCCCCGCCCCGACCCCGTCCCCGTCCCCGAATCCCCGGCTAATAATATATATATTATATAATATATAATATATAATATTAAGAATTTCAATTAGTAATTTTAGTATTTAGTGAAAACTGTTTACGAATTAAAATGTTTAGTGTTTAGTTAATAAACTGTTTAGGAATTAAAAGTTGTAGTTACTGTAAACTGTTTAGTATTTTTTTTTTTTTTTGAAAAACTAGTCTTTTATTTTTTATTAGGCATAAATAAAAAACGGGGCGGGAATTCCCCGTCCCCGAAAATTCCCCACGGGACGGGGATGGGGAATAATTCCCCATCCCCGCCGGGGAACGGGGCGCGGACGGGGAATGGGGAAATATTTCGGGGACGGGGACCCCATTCCCCGCCCCCGCCCCACCCCGCCCCGTTGCCATCCCTACTCGCGGGGTGATTAGAGATTGATTAGTATAAAAACATTCCACTTTGTCTTGGTATGACATTCATTCCAATCTTTGTAATTGAATTACTTAATTCATCAATACAAATTTTGTCTCCGTGACCGACACTCATTGTCTTTTCCATTCCATTACCCTTTGTCTTTATTTCCTATTATTTATTATTTAATTACTGGGTTATTTGAGTCAGACCACTCAAGTCAATATAATCCATCACATTTAATTATTGG